CACGTCTAAAGGTTGAATCATGCCCGTTGTACCAGCAGGAATAGTCTTAATTACAACGGATTTTCCAGAAGTTGATAACGCATTAAGCATTTGTGAATTCTGTCCACTCCAAGAATCTAACAACAGGACACTTTCATTGTTAGTTGATGGCAGGAAAACTTTTGTAAACCATTCTTGGACAAGCTTTGATGATAATTTGCCTGATTTAGAAGCAAGTACGTGGACATTTTCGTGAGTGAACAAATTGTTTTTTATTCTCGGGCCGAACACACCATCTTTTTCTTGCAATATAATTAACAACGGAGATAATAAACAACCATCAGCAGAAATAAGAGGTTGAATCGTATAGCTATGGGTCATGGAATTTAATGATTGCGCCAATGTTTCGATTTTTAGTTCCCCTTTAAATGACAGAGTGCGCCCAGTATGCATCTCCAAATTAAATCCAGACTGATCACTATTAAATACATTACATTCTCCTACTTCTGAAATAAGCGTGTTTACGTCATCTACAAATTCTGCAGCTTGTTCTTTAAGCTTATCTTGATCACGTACAGATTTTTGTGTTATAAATTTATTTATTTTTCTTGATACTATGTTGTACTTCATTTTAAAAGTGTGAAGCCATTTCGATGATGCTATAAATGAATCAGAAGAAAGTGAAACGTCATCTCGTGCTTTTAAAGCCCATCTACGAATATCAACGTCGTGAATCGTTAATGACTTATCAACCGCTTGTTAAAATTGGGATATCACATATTCTGAAATTTTCCTTACTTTCTCCTTCCTGGTTCCACCTTCTTCAAGTTGAGCTTCCCAACGATATAATTCGCTCTTATGTTTTAATCGCTTAAATTTGTTTTGAACGGTTTCAAATTTCACTTTTCTTTTTTTTCCTGATTTCCAATATTCGATGACTTTTCGTTTATATTCATCATCGATGTCATCAAGTTTGGAAGCAGAGTCTACCTGTAAGTTAGATGATGTTTCACCCTCAAAATCAGAAGTGTTGTCATCTTCGATTAAAAAAGTTTCTTGAATGTCATTTTGATCTTCAAAAGTTAATGTTTCGTGAGTTTCTACAAAAATGGCATCATTGACTGAATCCTTTATTAGAGTTTCTAATTGAAAACTAAATGTCCTTTCATCGTCGTTTACAGCAGATTCAAAATCATACTGCGGTTGATTAAACGCTTCATACAAAAGCCGAACAATATTTTTTGGATTCATAGCGGGCAGGGATACCGAATGACGGAGAATTTCCTTTTAACGCGTTTGTTTGTAACGCGTTTTCGCGCCTCCTCGGCGAGTATCTTGTCCGCCGCGTGCCTATCGACGAGATCGTTGCTCTGAGAATACGCGATGTCGTGCTCGCGACACGCCGCGTCCAGTGGATTTAGTCCCGCGTCGCCTCTGATCGTTTCTTCAGTTGAGTGCCGGCGCCGCAAAACTGGTAGCCGGGGATATGTAACTCGAAAGGAAGCGTGTTTATCACCTGATTTAACAAGCTCTTCGCTGACATTCGCCGCAATCCCGTATCTTCGGTGCGGGACCGTCGATGTGAGTTTGCTGACTCGGCAAGTTGTAATACTTCAAACACCGGCGGTACCGTCGAACATCCGAATCGGCTCCTATGTGCTCGGGCAATCTGTCCCATACGTGATCGATATAATCGCCACACATTTGTAACAGTACGATCTTCGGTATATACTGCAACTGTTCAGCGCTCAATTCTCGAATGTCGAAAGAACGATGATACAGCGAGAAATACATTTTGCTACTGCCCGATTCGCGGATTCGTGCACCTATAAATAGGCGTTCGAGACTGCCGGTAGATTGTAGTGCGAGTATGAAATTTATGCAGCCTCCACTGACGATACGCGTCATGAATTGTGACGCGAAATTGCAAATGATGCGGAACGACGCGAATAAGCGCAAGTACGGTCAAATGTTGCCGAATACTATACGCGCGATCGTTTACGGCCAGTCAAACTGCGGCAAGACGAACGTGCTGATAAGCTTGCTTGAGAGCCCAAACGACGTACGTTTCGAAAACGTGTACGTCTACTCGAAATCACTGCAACAGCCAAAGTATCGATATCTTGAAAATTTGTTGACGTCCATCGACGAAATCGGCTACTTTACGTTCTCCAACAACAGTGATGTCGTTCCACCGAATGAGGCGCTACCGAATTCTATCTTTATCTTCGACGACGTGGCATGTGACAAACAGAACGCGGTGCGAGAGTACTTTTCGATGGGTCGTCACGCGAACGTCGACTGCTTCTATCTCTGTCAGACGTACGCGAGGATACCTAAACATCTGATACGCGACAACGCGAATCTGCTAATCCTGTTCAAGCAAGATGGTACCAACTTGAAACATGTTTACAACAATCACGTGAATACTGACATGTCGTACAACGAATTTTACGCGTTGTGTCGCAAATATTGGCAACAAAAATATGGATTCATAGTAATAGACAAAAACAGTGCGCTTACAAAAGGGAGATATAGAAGAGGATTTAATGAATTCGCGATGCCGTAACGCTGTCAGTCGTTGTCCATTCTTTGTCAGAGACGAACATGTCTAACGTGCGTGAAAAAATCGCGAGAGAGACCGAGAAGACTAGCGAGTCGATCCGCAAGAAACATCGTGCTTTGAAGACCGATAGATCGACGAGGACATTGTGCTGGACAGGCGTTTCAAGCCTATCGTCGAGCCGTTGGGACAGATCGCAGATAGTAGTCCCGTCGTGAGCGCGATAAAGACAGAGTCGCGTGACTCTACCCCTAAACGCAAGAGAGTGGAGGAGGAGAAGAAGGAGAAGGAGACGTTCGAGCGCTTCATGACTCCGCGCACGCATTTATTCGATCAAACGCTCGAACCGATAACCTCCACACCGCAAGCACCTACGATCGTGCAACCGTCAGAGTCATTCGACAACGTTTCCGAAACGACGTACGCAACGCTCGCGATACCCGATCAAAATCAGAGAACCGAGAGACTTCGCGAGCTCACTTGGTCTGCTGAGTCTAAAATACGTCGAGCCTATCCTACGAGGACACAATGAGAGCGGTATAGATCATGTGTACGGCGCTTACTTGGACAAGGACGGACTAATTCTCGGCAATAAGCGTTTCGACGTGGATGACGCGGATAACATAATTATCGACAGCGTACGATACGCCGCACAGTGGGGCCAAAACGGATTCGCGCGGACAAATTAAGCCACAGGCTTCAATTTTCTATGAAAATTAATGGTTTTTTTTTTAATCTTCGTAAGAAAATTTAGAAAAAACGTAAGGAAGCCGTTTTTAAGAAAAAAAATTTGTATCATATATATATATAGCATTAGAAGCAGACGTAAACATATAAGCGACTTCTTGTTGAATGCAAATAAATTATTGCAGCCGTCGATTTTTTATGAAATTCTGTATAAAACATTTTTTCAGGTTGCTAATTGCGAATCCAGTATCAAATTCTCAAAATTCAAAATGGCGGATCCGATATGGCCCATAAAAATTTTAATAAATGTTAATTTTATCTGATATTTGGTATATAGGGGGTTTTTAGGTCGCTGATGACGAATTTGCTGACAAATTTTCAAAATTCAAAATGGCGGCTTCAATATGGCCAATGAAAATTTAAAAAAAAATGTTAATTTTGTCTTATATTTGGTATATAGGGGTTTTGTAGGTCGCTGATTGCGAAATTGCTGCCAAATTTTCAAAATTCAAAATGGCGGATGTAATATGGACAATCAAAATTTAAAAAAATGTTAATTTTATCTGATATTAATCCAATATGGGAAATAAAAAACTAATAAAAATAGTAATTTTATGTGATATTTGGTATGTAAATTGTATTTTCAAAAGTTCTTTTTTGGGTTACCTTATCTTTGAAATAATCCACATTTTTATAAAAATAGATTTATGTGTATATCAGTCGCTTATGATTAGAAAATAATTTAGAACTTTGTATTTTTTTTGTATTGAAACATTTTCTTGATAACTACTCCAAGTTAAATCCGAACCATAACGAACTGCTATTAAACATTAAACAAACAATAAAGTGTAGGTGAGTCATTGGTGTCCGGCTGTGACTGAAAGCGATAAAAGGGATGTAATTTTCTATTTTTTTTTTCAAATCTTAAAGATAAAAAAAGATTAATGTTAACAGAATTTATCTACCTAATTACTTGAAACAGGGGCTAGTAATCAAACCTTCAATAACCAAACCCAAAATAACCTAATATAAAATAACCGAACCTAAGGCAGCTTCAACTTCAATAACCAAATTCGACAGGAGCAAACTTAAATTAGTACCGCAAGCTATATTTTTCAAAATTTAATTTTATTCAGAATATCGTAGAGTACAACATACTACTTTTGTAAGAGAACTCATTGCACAATTAACAAAAATAAAACCATTTAACGTTTTTTTTTTAAAAACATTTTTTTAAATTTTGATCGTCCATATTACATCCGCCATTTTGAATTTTGAAAATTTGGCAGCAATTTCGCAATCAGCGACCTAAAAACCCCCTATATACCAAATATCAAATAAAATTAACATTTATTAAAATTTTTATGGGCCATATCGGATCCGCTATTTTGAATTTTGAGAATTTGATACTGGATTTGCAATTAGCAACCTGAAAAAATGTTTTATACAGAATTTCATAAAAAATCGACGGCTGCAATAATTTATTTGCATTCAACAAGAAGCCAGGGCCACCCTAATATATATATATATATATATGATACAAATTTTTTTTCTTAAAAACGGCTTCCTTACGTTTTTTCTAAATTTTCTTACGAAGATTTAAAAAAAAAAACATTAATTTTCATAGAAAATTGAAGTCTGTGTCTTAATTTGTCCGCGCGAATCCGTTTTGGCCCCACTGTGAGGCGCGGTGATAAACTCTAATCACATCGAGCCTCGCCAATTCCTCGAAGACGCGAGTGAAATTGTGCTCGAATGTGTGCGAGATGTCATGCAGAGACATAATTCTATAAAAATAAATACAGTGTTTAACGGTGAGTTCGTATCAGGTGATAAACGTGCCAATAAAAGTGTGAGTACGAGAAACTATGAACTTTTTCGTTCGTCAAATTTGCAAGAGCGGTACGCGTCGCGAGTCGTCGAGCCAATCCTGGCATCGCTGGACGAATTCCAGGAACGTGATAGTGGGTGGACGCTATCGCGTATCCTCAATTTGACTATTAGTGTGAACAAGTACAATCCTCTGCACGCCGGTTGTGACATTGAGTTATCGAAAAAAATTACGGACAAGAGAGCGATTGTTAATGTGCAATCCCGGGACGATGCGTGCTTCGCGTGGTCGGTGGTAGCCGCTCTGCACCCGGCTGAAAAGCATATGGAGCGAATGTCTTCGTATCCGCACTACTCATCGGTACTCAATCTCACGAACATCGAGTTTCCGATGACATTAAACCAGATAAAGAGATTTGAAAATCTCAATGACATCTCAGTAAATGTTTATTGCATCGAGAACGAAATTCTTCCTCTTCGGCTCACCGACCGAAAGAGGAGCAAGCACGTCAATCTGCTATACGTGGAGGATCCTCAAGATGAAAACACGAAGGATATGCGGGACAAAAACATGGGGCATTTCGTCCTGATTAAGGATCTCTCCCGCCTCGTAGGATCACAACTCAGCAAATCCAAGAAAAAGAAATACTTCTGCGATAGGTATGTATAATAATAATAATAATAATAATAATAACAATAATATATATATATAATAATAACAATAATAACAATAATAACAATAATAACAATAATAATAATAATAATAATTTATTTTTATTCTTTTTTCCAGATGCTTACACTACTTCAGCTGCAATAAAAAGTTGGAGATCCACACAGTAGACTGTGGAAAACTTAACGATTATGCCATAAGGCTGCCGAGCGAGGACGACAAGTGGCTCAAGTTCAAGAACAACTGCAGGAAGGAGCGCGTCCCGTTCGTCGTCTACGCAGACCTGGAGTGCGTGCTGGAAAACATGGACAAGGATCCGACATCATCCACGTACACTTATCAACGACATAAGGTTTTTAGTATAGCGTATTACGTACACTGCTCGTACGACAGCTTACTGTCGGGTTATCGTTTTCGACGTGATAATAATTGTATAGCGTGGTATGCGGACGAATTAAAAAAAATAGCGCATAGTGTAAAGACTATAAATTCTACAAATGTTCCTATGACAGATTTTACGCGAGACGACTGGCAGAAATTTAATAGCGCTACGCACTGCCACGTGTGCGAAAAACCGTTCGCGAAAGACGGTAAGCAAGCACGCGATCATTGCCATTTGACCGGGCGATACAGAGGCCCCGCGCATTCAAATTGCAATTTAAATTATAAAGATTCACATTGCATACCCGTAGTCTTCCATAATTTATCAGGATACGACGCTCATTTTATTATCAAAGAAATAGCTACAGCGTACGAAGGACGCGTTAATCTTTTACCGATAACAAAGGGAAAGTACATCTCATTTAGCAAACACGTCGACAGCACCATAGATGATAAAAAAAATTGCATACAATTACGTTTTATAGATTCATATAAATTTCTCGCCTCAAGTTTAGAAAAATTAGCGTCTTTTCTCAGCAAGGATAAGCTACGGGTAGTGCAACGTGAATTTTGTAATTTATCTGCAGAAAATTTCGACTTATTGACGCGAAAAGGTATATTTCCGTACGAGTACATTGACAGTGTTGAAAAACTGGATGATGCATGCTTACCACCTCGCGAATCGTTTTACAGTTCATTGACGGATAGTACGGTATCTGAGAGTGATTACGCGCACGCCTTGAACGTATGGCAGCAGTTCTCCATTCGAACCCTCGGCGAATACAGTGACTTATATTTAAAAACGGACGTTTTGTTGTTGACTGACATTTTTGAGAATTTTCGAGATAGTTGCGTTGCGAGTTACGGGCTCGATCCCGCGTATTATTACACCTTACCGGGCTTCACGTGGGATGCCATGTTGAAGCATACAGGTGTAAAATTTGAACTTCTAACTGACGTCGACATGGTTCTTTTCATCGAACGCGGTATACGTGGCGGTCTGAGCCAGTGTTCAAACAGATATGCGCAGGCCAACAACAAGTATATGCAATCGTATGATCCGTCGAAACCGTCGACGTACTTGATGTATTATGACGTCAACAACTTGTACGGTTGGGCAATGTGTCAACCATTGCCATACGCCGATTTTCAATGGGTCGACGATGTAGAAAATTTTGATGTTACGACCGTCGCGCTCGATTCACCGACAGGCTATATTCTCGAGGTGGACTTGGAGTATCCGTAACATCTTCATGACGTTCACGCGGACCTACCGTTTTGCCCGACGCGCGAGAAACCACCCGGTAAGCGCGAAGACAAGCTCCTCGCAACATTGTGCGATAAGCAGCGGTATGTCATACATTATCGCAACCTGCAGCAATGTACTCGTCACGGTCTCCGCATCACAAAGATCCATCGCATACTACGATTCGCACAATCTCCATGGCTTTGCGATTACATAGAACTAAACACAAAATTTAGAACTTTGGCTAAGAATGATTTCGAGAAAAATTTATACAAACTTATGAATAACGCGGTTTTTGGTAAAACCATGGAGAATGTGCGCGATCGCGTCGATATCAAATTAGTAACGACATGGGACGGTAGATACGGTGCTGAAGCAATGATTGCGAAACCGAATTTTTACAGTCGTAGCATTTTTTCAGAAAATCTGGTCGCGATAGAACTGCGTAAACTCAAGGTGAAGTTCGACAAACCGATATACGTGGGTATGTGCATCCTCGATATATCCAAGACATGTTTGTACGAATTTCACCACGAATATATGGCACCGCTGTTTCGCGAAAATTATAAAATTATGTATACCGATACAGACAGCTTAATTTATCATGTAGAATGTGACGATGTATATGAAATTATAAAACGCGACATAAATCAAGAGACGCGGTAGTGTCTCGCGCCAAGTGAACGCGAAGCGCGAGACCGCACGTGTATCTTTACGCGAGTCGATGAGTTCCGTGTACCCGAGATTATCGGATCTCACAATAAATGGCTGAATTTATCAACTTTTATATATCCGTAATTTAGTTTTAGTGTTTAAATTATATTATAAATATGTTTTTATTGTCTACGTACCCTACGAAGGAAGATATCTCGATGTGAAGATGAAATGTCAAAAATTTGAAACAACATAATTTCGGCGCGGATCAGCTCGTCGTAAATTTCGCTAGTCGCGAAAAAGGTTCGCACGGGAAGAGAGAATGCAGAAACTAATAATTAGACAGTAATTTAAGACCAGAGACAGAAACGTTTATTGCGTGTATCGTGTATATTTACAAAGGTGTGTGTATGTGTGCGTGTGTGTGTGTGAATGACAAACAGGTGTGTGTCGTGTGTCGGTGTACGCAGGTGTATGTGTGTCGTGTCGAGACGGCAAGTAGACGAGACGGATACAAGACGTGTACAGAAAAACAACAAAGCGTAGATAGAAAAACGAAGATATTACGGACGGCACGAACAGAAAAACTAGAAGTGTAAATTACGGCGCGAGTACGGCAGATAACGCGTGGGGATCTTTAAATCCCAATACGGGCGCGGAAATCGCGGGGCGCGGTCGGTAGTACGGATGTTTTCGCGGACGTGGAGTATACGCCAGCGGCGGATGACGATCGCGGCGCGGATGACGCGGTGGGCGTTCCCTCTATGCAATGAGGGACGCTTCGCGGAGTGTAGAAGGCACAGATACTCTAGCGCCCGACTGCCAAGAACGCTTGGCGGAGGCGAAGAACACTTCACCCCCTCTTCTCGCCGGTGCGCTAAGTCTAGGATACTGGCGTACGGCTGTCAAGAACGCTTGACGGAGGCAAAGAACGCTTTACCCCCTTTTCGCGTCGTACGGCCAGCGGATCAGGAAATTTGATGATCGACTGTCAAGAACGCTTGACGGAGACCAAAAACACTTGACCCCCTTTTCGCGTCGGATCACCGGAGCTAGGATCGGAGCGGAGTTCGTAATGGAGCGGCGGTTAGGATAGAAGAGAGCTCCCGGAGCAATAATTACGCGTTATATACTAATTATTGCTCTCGCTCGTTTGATTACGGTCTTTTCCGTTATCGCTTGGCGGTCGGCAATTCCTGCGGAGGGGATTGTCGATCGGCGATGTTCGGTCGCGTTCGGTCGGAGCGGCGGATAGAGCGAAGCGCAGATCGTTCGGCGATCTTCGGACGCGTTCGGTCGGAGCGGCGATAGCTACTGTCGACGGCGGTAATTCTAATATCGCGAAATATGAAATGTTTCTGGCGGCTGGTATTGTCGGAACGATGCATTGCGGAGTGCATCGTTACAAATTTTAACATCGGAAATGTTATCCTTTTCACGTTATAAACGATAGACGGCGTTAAATTCTTGTCCTTTTCACGTTTTAAACGGTAGACTTGCTAGCATATTTTATTTTATATCGATTAGCTGTCAATGTAATCAATTAGCTGTCAACGTAATGACATTAGATAGATAAAAATCAGCGATGACAAAGCAGGATTTTTGTATCCTGTTATAAAGCAGTCAATGTCTTGAAAGTTCACGGAATAAGTGTTCGAGGCTATGCTTTGAACTGTACTGTCGCCTCTCAAGTAATGCTGAAGAGGATAACGGATGCGAAAATCATGCTAAAGCTACAGGTGCGCAATTTTTAACTTTGCTAACCAATATGGAAGGAGAGGAGAGTTTTGATGCCAGTTTTATATAATATTTTATTTTATATCGATTAGCCGTCGCAAAAGAAGATATGGATATTGAGCTGGAGGATATCAAATTATTATTTGAAGAAACTTCAAAAATCTCCGCTGCTGCTGCCGCTTCTTCGAAGGCCACCGCCATCGCTCCTCCACAGATCGCTGCTCCTTCGAAGATCGCCGCTCCTCAGCAGATTGTCGCTTCTTCGCAGGCCGTTGCCGCCGCTGCTCCTCCGCAGATCGTCACTCCACAGATCGCCGCTTCTCCGCAGATTGCCACTCGTCCGCAGATTGCCGCTCGTCCTAAGATCACCGCTCCTTCGCAGACTGTCACTCCTCCGCAAGTCACCAATACTGCCAATCTTCCCGAGATCGTTGCCACCGTCGCCGCCGCCACTCCTTCACAGATGGCCGCCGCTCCTCGATCTCATGTTCCTCAAACATACAAAATTCCACGTAATTTATTTATAATATAACATAATAATTGAATAATAATAGTAAATTCTATATATATATTTTTCCGTGTAAAAGTAACAAAATCGAGATATAGTATAATAGATAATATTTTTACTACAATACTTTTTAAAAAAATATTTTACTTACCTTGTTTTATTTTTGTAGGGCACAAAATGAGAGGCACAAAAGGTGGAATACGCCACAAGTCATCGAGGAATTTCTTTGAATTTATATTTCAAATGAGCGATGCCAACGACATTATGAAAGAAGACGAGGAACCCAGAGAGGAGAAAGAAGAGGAGGAATAAGAGGAGGAAGAAGAGGAAGAGAAAGAGGAGGAAGAAGAGGATAAAATAAAAAAAGTTAAATTAAGGAGCAGCGGCAATCTGCTGAGGAGCGGCGGTCTTCGGAGGAGCAGCGATCTGTGGAGGAGCGATGGCGGTGGCCTTCGAAGAAGCGGCAGCAGCAGCGGAGATTTGTGAAGTTTCTTCAAATAATAATAATATTGGAATCCTCCAGCTCAATATCCATATCTGAATCCATATCTTCTTCTGATATCTAATTGTAAATAATTGTAAATAAATATGTATAAAAGATATGTGTACACATGTAAATTTATTAAAAATACGTGTAAATTATATATACTTACGTTGCTTTTTTTATTCATGGTTGTTTGTTCCATAGAACTTATAATACTGGAATAGAAATAACCCATCTAAGCAGTGTGTGGAAAGTGTGAGCAACTGAGAGCAGGACAGAAGATGTATTGCTGTCCTGCTCAGTGACTTTTTCTCTTTCTGCGCATGTGTCAATCCAAGCAGAAAAACAAGTACATATGTAACATCGAAATGATATTTCGACAAAAACATGACATGAAATGACATTTTCGACATTTTGACAAGTATTTATTAATATATTACGAGTTTCTAATACACTTACTTGTGATAAGACGCTGTTTTATCATGATTATCACACAAAACAAAATACCGAACCATTTTCGATCGTCTCAAAATTAATAAGCAAAAAATCTTGCAAATATGGCCATGTTGTCATGGTTGCATCTAAAAATTTTGATTGGCAGAGGATGGTCATGCGCATAATGAGAAAAGTCACTGAGCAAGATAGAAAGATATTTCTGTCCTTTTTATGTTGCTCACAGTTCTA